TCCCCCCCCCCCCCCACCTCCCCCGGCTGCTTGCTTTAGTATAAACTTGAACACTGGAGTGATAAGTCGATATTAATTACTACGACGCTAAAACACTTTGATTTGGATTAAACAGTCTCGTGTTCATTCATGCTCTAAATGTTCAAGACCGCCAAGGTGGTTTAACCCTTTAACGTACAGTCCTTTTCCAAAAAATAAGCTCCATTGGTACTAGGCTCGTAACAGAAGGCGCTATTGTTACTTGAAACAAGTTCACTACCTGTCTACAGCCTCCGCCTGATACACCACCAAAACTCACTACTTAAGCTTCATCAGTCAGCTGTGAGACACGTGTGAGTGCGGTTGGGTGCATTTTTCCAACAAATAATTCGAGCATTAAAGGGTTAAATGAACTTAAACGACTGATTACTCATCTAAAAAATTTTGGAGGTTACCTATTCTCTTTTAACTATCTGGCAGATGGAAGCCTAAATTGTCTAAACAAAATCACAGATAAATTAGTCCGAATTAATTAAAATGCATGATGACATTTTTCTGCCAATTTTAATAATCAAAAACCCTCAGTGTAATTGTAATATCACACCAAAGGTGGCTAGATCGCTATTTCAGTAATTTTTCTTCAATAGTGATCAGATAATCTCTATTTCATGCCGAATTTCTTGATATAAGTTTTCACATGTTTTTTTTCGTTAAATTTGGCTGGATGCATGATAAATCATGCAACTCACATTACCAAGTAATGGTTCATTGGCTCTGCAAAGCACGGAAACGTATGTTCAGTAAAGTGCACATGAATATTTGCTTTATTTTTCAACTTAAAATGCAACTTAAATTCAGACTTGCAAAACTCTGGTAGTTATTGATGCTTTCTTGTTATGACCCCGATTACTCATTTCAGCTCATTAATGTCAACAGAGCGGGATGTGCGATAGACTTACCTCCACGTGGTGCACCCTGGGCAACGTATACTCATACGGCAAAAAGGTCTATTAACTGGCAGTTGACTTTTAACTTCAAACTACCATCATCCCATTGCATGTCATATTCGACTGCTTCCACAGTACTCACCTCACCTTTTTTCTACTTTTGTGTCTGTCTCTTCTACATCTTTGAAACACTCTTCTGTACCCCCCCCCCAATTCTCTCGTTTTTTTCACTTTATGTTCCTTCCACTCTGTGAAGCCTGAAGTCAACTAAATGGCTAATGATAACTATCAAAACGCCTGCCATTTGATACAAATAAATGTCAACAGAGCTCTGTTGAAAGTGAACTAATGAGTGACATGTCTCAAGTTCACGTTATCGCATCCCGAAAGTAACACACCGCAGGCTCGCAAATGTACTAGTCTATTCTATTTCATAATTGCCGTAGACGACGGTCATTGTGTTTATTGTCTGACAACACAATAAAATCCTTTTTGAGACACGGAGAATTGATATGATTGACAAGCAATAGTAATGAGTACAATAGAATAGGATATGGTTTAGATAAAGTTTTGGAGTTCTTCTGAATTGATCGCACAGTTCTCAATCCCTTAGGTAAAAAATATGATCTAAGTCAAATAAGCAGCGAAATAGCAACAATCATTCAAATAAAACTATGTTAAGCCATCAGGGGGTGAGCGATAGACTTACCTAGATGTGGAGAACCCTGGGCAACCTAAACTCATACGGCGAAAAAGGTCTATAAACTAGCAGTTGACTCCGAACCACATTAACCCGACTGAATGTCATACTCGACCACTTCCATATACCCACCTTACCCTACTCTCTGCCTATCCGTAAATCGCTATTCTGTTCCCTCTCTCGACTTTTGGGGCTTTAATATTCCGCACGCACCCTCCCTCTATGAAGCCCGAAATCAACTAAAGTGCCAATGCCAACTATCATATAACTCTGTATATGTATATATACATATTCTAAAAGTAATGACTAATTTTAATGAAAATTGCGTGCGGGAAATCACAATAGATATTCGATATAGAAGAATCGGCAGGACCATACCTGTGGATTCTGAAGGAAAGAATTTCTGAAGTCAAGACTGCCACCACTATTATCCGCCCTCCAAATCCCATTGTATTCAGAGAGGCTGAAAGATGCAAACATTCCTGTCTTCGGTAGACGAGCTACAATGGCTCCAGTGAAGTGCGTGAGAATTGCGGAGAGTGGCATCCAGAATTCAGCCTCTGTGGAACTCACCAGTCCAATTCTAGAACGATCTTTTATGCTCAAATTCTCCCATTCCTTTTAAAAAGAAACATGGAACTTAGAAAACAACATCAGCTATGCTTATACCACCAATAATCAATTAAAAGAAAAAAAATAGTTTAAATTAACTATAATCTACATGTAATAACTTCATAAAAATTAGACATACACGAAGCTGTAAATATTTTTAAAATTTTTTATTCTCTCAATCACACGTAAGTGATGTGTGGAGCACACAACGCTGCCATCACTGAACAAAGACTGACTCAAGGTGCGGCAGTGCTATTTGGCGTGGGGAGTAAATGCGGACAACCACTAATCAATAGTTCTTGCTCTGTTTAGTTGTCTATTATTTTAAAACGACTAAGGTCCTTGTCTATCACCGTACAGTCAAAATAAACGTATTCCACGTCAAACATCTCCTTGCTCTGCAGCTTTGTTGTAGTTTGGCTAGTCCTGGTAACCATTTCAAAAGTAGGAGAACTTGCCATAGAGATTAATGAGCATATGTCAAGGTTAATTAGAGTAGCGAACCGATAGAGTAGTTTCAGAGGTGATAGAGGAACCATTTTACGAGTTTCTGGCAAATAGTAACTTAATACAAAGAGAAAGAAATTTTTATTAAACATTTAATTCCACTTTTTAAATTTCACAGCTTAATTCAAGAAGAGAGTGAGAGAGAGAGAGAGGTACCAACACTTTCAGAATTTGGTTGCAGCCAGGAATTAATTCTTAGTTGTTACTACGCTAACAGGTGGATAAGAATACATTTGAAAAGGATTCAGTTAAAATGAATTACCAAATACCTAAGTAAGTTGAAGTGTTGTGTAACCCTGAGTACTTTGGTTTCTATAAGATTATGATGCGTTTGCACTATCACCAGTTAATCAATTAAAATTCGGTGCATTTGAATAGCGCAGAGAGTGCTCAGATGTGCGCCTGTGGGGTAGCGAACAGCTCGTACGTCCGCCAAATTAAAGGTCATGAGATCAATGCTCATTGGTGAGCAATCTTTGACGATCTACCAATGCTTGTCAATATGAAGGGGGATGGAGGGTTGGGGGGGGGGGGGGGGGGGGTCGATGGGAGCAAAACTGCCTATGGGTTTTGTCCCCGGTGCCTCTAGCTCTTTGCCTAATTTCCCAATATATCTGCAAGTGCTCAGTGCATTCCTTATTATTAGGCACTTGTATCACCAATTTTCATGACTCCTCTACACCATCTGTATATCTGATCGGATGACCAGAACTAAAGGTTGATGATAAAAAAAAAGACCATTGAAATGGATGCCTGGGAGTACCAGCACTTCATCCGCAGGTCCTATGACGATTAATCAGTACTCGTTTGGATTTACCATCAATAAAAGCGACAAAATTATTAGTACTTCCTTGTTGAACGGAAATATTTGCGAATTTGGCATAGTCCCTTTAAAGATGAAGCGGATACGAGTGTTGTGAACTCAAGTGAGCAAAACAAATAGGAAAGAGATTTCTAAGCATTTAGCACATTCTCATTCACGCGTACTAACTATTGACTAGCAATGAAAGAACAATACACTATGCTTAATCCTAAATTGAAACGTCAATATGAAAAGCAGTTATAAGATCTCTTCTCTATATTTTCACATTCCTATCCATCTTTGATCCAACTCTTATTGCATCCGACATGTAGGTAATTATAAGACTCGTGAGCTTTCTAATGTTATCCCACTTCTATTTCATTATTTTCATTTCATTCTCTCACTTTCTCTTGCAGACAATTGGAGGCAACTAGATTGTACACATTGGAGAAATGTGATCGCCTCCTCGACATATTCGCCTCTGAAATAAAAATTCTAACAAAAATTTTATGAAAGTACTCGTAAAGTGCAGTTTTACATTCACAACACGCAAAAAAGCATATGTTTTGAAATTGATTGAGCATGTGTGTGTATGTGTGTGTCTGTATGTGCGTGCGTGTGGATGATCGTAATTATCGAGTAGAGTAAAAATAAACGTACAGAAGTTCTAAAATGACAAAAAATTGATGTGACACTGACCCACATCAGTTAACCATCAGTAGTCAACCCTACTTCTTAGGCCAAAAGCTTAATAATGAATAAAGTAATTTGAATAATTATAAGCAATCCATAACTTTCATTGGTTGACGAGTTGAATGAAACAACATAGGTCAAACACAATAACAGTGACGTGCTATTGCTATTTATAAGACAGGACTCACTGTAAAACGCCTTTAAATATTCCTAAGAGCTAAAAGGTGTCAACCTTCTCCAACATTCAGGACAACTGTAGTTGAGGCGTTTTTGATAGACTATTCTCTCATATCGATTCGTTTGGTTGCTTAGGCAATTGCGTCCATACAAGTTAGTAAAAAGGAGCATCTTAGCCTACTTTCGATTTTCAAGTAGAAATATGCTGTTAGTAGCTTATAGGCGGAGTAAACTGTTCCTTGTCAAATATTAGATCTCGTATAGGCTGTCAACTAAAAGCGTAGAAAATTGGACAGAACAGATCGCGAGTCCAATTGCACGTATTGTCCTTACTCTCATATAAGGCAAAACTAAAATTAATGTTGCTTTAAAGAAGATAACAAAATTTGCACTCATCAATTTCATATGAATATGAGATGAAGATTTGCAACGCCTTCGGGTCAAGGAACTGACTCACACCACTTAAGGACTGATTTAATAAGCACATAAAGATCTATTCACAACTGAAATGCCTACGATAGATGCAGTCAAAGAGTAAAAGGGAAACAAGTGGAGAGTGTAAATTTCGTAAACTTTTGCGAATTTAGTTCAATTAATTTTAACATTACCCTATCAATGTGAAACTTTCGATCTCCTATTATTGTCAAAAGCTCATTTCTCGAAATCATAACCCAATTATTTTTCAATCAATAAATAATTGAAATCTAGAACACTTTAAATCCATACAAGGGAATTAAAATAATTGAAAAGAAATTATAGAGCTTAATCTCGGTTGCTGATTACTTGATGACCTTCATATTTAATCAATGCCATTCAATTGTAAAATGCTGAAACTGGTATTAATTTGGAGTAGATTTTCCAGTAACTCAGTGAAAATAAATAAATTAGACAAAAATTTCTGAACAACAACAATAACAGCAAAGTTCTTGACACATCGAGAATTATAAAACAATGCAATAATGACTCCCTTTAAGAGAACCACTTAATCTTGTTTAAAAGACAGTGGTGCAGACGACATTAGCAGAATAATGAATTTCGTGCAATTGGGTAATAAAACAACAAAATCCAAATTAATTAGTTAAAAGTTAAAACTTTAAAATGACATGAGCTTTGTTCAGACCAGCGCCAAAAACATTAAAATCAAATAATTGAAGATATAGAGAGAAATTTAAAACTTGCTTCGGACCCCTCCGAATAGGCGCCCTTCCATTCACCGAAACTTGTTGTTTTTGACTGCACAGTAATAACAGATCTCAAACGAAGAAGACGATCTTTAGGAGTGTCTTTAGTTAATTTCAGAGCTGTAAGCACAGCACCCATGGCACTGGGATCTTTAGGAACGACGCAGGTTTTGGTCAACATATATGCATGGTTGGAGCATAACCCCGTGGCCTGATCAACACTTCCAAGACGCCTTGGAGCACATAACTCATCGGAAAAGTCATTTGATTTATTTTCAGTGGGGGAATCCTCCTTAGATTTGTCAGCAGCTTCTTTAGAAATGAGATCACTCTAAAAACAAAATTATCAATTCAATATAGTTGAATCACTTTTGTACACAAGAGAACTATTGAGCCTTCATTTAAAGACTGCCCAAGGGTTTCAAATAGTTCAATTTTACGAAAATCGTTTGCTGCGATCACATCTTGAAATGTTATCGTATCCATAACGCATCCAGTCAAATCCTGTAAGACATCTTCAAGGCGCAAGTTTTCCAGTCGATCATAACCACCAAGCAACCTGAAACAAAAAGACCGTCAAATAAAAGCATTCATTACTTAGCATAAGCTTTTGCCAAAAGAGAAGGCCAAAATTCATTTTGATTTGAAGAATGCGGACAGATAATTTTCCCATTTATCATTGGTAATGCATCATCAATCACGACAAATGTAAAAACACCGTCAATCCAGAAACGAATTCTAAATGCACCAGTATAGTTTCTGACATATCTCAAATCATTCATTTCTTTCAGGTCAGGAAATAACTAATTGAATGAAGCAGGCATAAAGTTAGAGTACATACATTTTCAAGCAGCTGGCTTCTCTCTGCAATCATAGAAATTGCTGAAATGAAATTTACGTTGGAAAGAGATCCAAGACATATAGCACCGGGTGGGCCTTCAGCTTTAATAACAGGATATTCTGAGATTTCCCAAATCCTTTTGAATTCCGGTGGCGATGGATTTTCCCCAGATAATGATTCAACAGTTGCGGGCGTGTTGGGAAAACTCTCATCCACAAACAGAATTCCTCTATTTATATGGGCAGATTTAATATAAGCATAATCTTGGTTATTTAAATATAATGAGCTCATTTTGATTCCCGAATTGGCTAATCGTAACCGTACAGTAACGTTGAGCTAATTATAACCTTGAAAATTGTCAGCTAAAACTGTGATGTTCAACTGATGGAATAAATTATAGACATGTTTTTTCAGATGTTTGAGATCTAAATATTATTTTGATGTTATTGTATTTAAGACTTTAAACTTGATTTCTGAAAATTTTACTTTCAATTAAAATGTCTATATATAATAATATCTGGCTACTCTTGCATAATTAATATAAAATTTTTAAATTAAAGTTTATTTGTTAACATTGACTGACTTTTCAAAAGCTATCAATATTTTCTTAAAATCGAATGTAACTACAATAAATATGACTGCACTTTTATAACAGCTGTTGATAACAATAAAAATTATCGCAAGCTTATAATAAGTGGATGCAAATTTAATATGATTTCTTAATGATTATAAAATTTGCTTTGCATTACCATAAGGAACTTTTGCTTTGCAAATTTAAACATTGAAGCAAGAAATCCAGACTTTAGAATTATTTGTCTAACAACATTTATGCGCTCACATTTGGCAGAGAACTAAACTTTAACTAAATATTTATTTACTTCCAGTATCAGGTAATCACTTTCAAAGATCAAAAACCCCAGAGCTGATTGTTATGTTTCCTGATGCGGCGAATATCTCCTCATTACAAAGTAGGGCAAAAAATAAATAAATATAATTATTGTTGTAATTATTTACTTCACTACATAAGTTAAAAGATGGGCTATAATATCATTTCAATCCATCTGTTAAAATTGTGCTTAGGGACTAGTGTCTGTTCGCGAGATTCTCGTCTCACCCGTTGAACGAGACTCTTAAGGCTGCTAACCATGTTTAAATCTTTGATTTATCCTTCATAAAACGGAATCAGTTATTGGGACTACTGTCAAAATGTAACTATTTCGACTACGCTTGCCACCTACAATATCAATAGAACGACGAATTTGTCTGAAATAGTGAGTTGGAGTGAGGTTAGTGTTTTTGCAGTGCTGATGGTGACCAGCTACATTTAACTTAGATCAGTCAGAGTCGCCATAATTATCCGGTGAATAAAGTGCCTGCCATCTAGTCTATACTTTTCCTCTTGGGTGGCTTGAAAAGCCAGATCCAATAATTAATAATCAGAAGCGCTCTGGTAACATGGATGACAAGCTGGATCTACTCAATTTATGCGACTTTTCAAGCCTTAACTATCATGTGGAAATTTTTACCCCCATTTCCCATAGATATCACTAATTATACATGGGAAATTCGTTTCTTTTAATGATAATAGCAATAATAATGAAATAACCCAAGATTGGCACTATTATTGTTGACGCTTAATCATTGAATGTACCAAATTTTCGAGATTATTTTTCGGGCTGGGTATGCACAATGCTACTAATTATTTTGCACTCCCACCAGAATGCAAATTTTTTTAACAATTACTCTCTCTATTACCAATAAAAAATCCCCAAAGTTATATCTTTAATTATAATTGATTTAATTGTCTTTCTTAATGATCTTCTCTTTAAATGTCCTGAAAAATTAATAAAAAATATTCCAAGTACCTTTCTAGATGATTGCTTAATTTCGGTTCATAAAAGCACATCTTCTTACTTATATTTTGTGACATATTTTTAAAAGCTTGAAAACCACTTTATATAATTATAAGTCAAATCAATTCATTCAAAACATGAGTCCAACCGGATGAACAGGAAGTATTAAGTCAGACTTTCATTGTCATGCATTACGAGATTCATCTCTAATCTTCTTTGAACTTCGCCACCACATCTATGCAACAACGAAGAATTCAACATGCTTTCAGTTAAAACTCGTGCTATTCTCATATCCCCAAACATATGAAGAAATACGGAATAATTCAAATTCAAATGAATCCATTCAATTCTATCCTTCAGTTCATTTTCGATGTAAAAGGAACGAGCGATCCTGTAAGAATCATGACATTTTCTTCTATAATTTTCGTTCTCCGGAAATACTTCACACAAATAGCGTATGAAATCCGCACTATGTCGCATTAGAATAGCTTTGTCCCAATTTGGCAACCAGTTGTTAGGAATGACCTTGTTGGTGATTATAACAGCAAATTGCTCAACGCACTGAACCATCATGGATCTGAGAGCGTTCAATATATTCATACATTTAGTGTCCTTTTCGGAATTAAAAAGATCGCGAAGAGCCGATATAACTCCTCTATAACTCTGTCTAAGTTCCTTTGCAACGGCTCTATTCGTTATGCCTTCATTTTTAAATCGCACACGAATTCCGATAAGAGCAACCCGTAGCCTATCCATTTCTTTTCCGAGTCTTTCCGGTGGGTATCGACGGAGAATATATTCAGCTAAAGACGTAGGATATTAATGAAGTTAATACACTCACGAGATTGCAGTTTTGCATAATTACGTCGAGATCCAGGAAATTCATCAATTAATGAATTTTGCGGTAATATTGTTGTTTCATTGACAATTTGAGTTGACACTAAAAGATAATCAATCAGTAACTTTGCATTAACGTACGAAGGGGTTTGTTGTTGGTAGTAAGGGAAATTGATGAAGAATGGCCACCAGGACGAGTCAGGAAAAGTTTCATATTCTCTATCTAAAATTAATAAAATAAGTATATAAAAGCGGAAAGTTTAACCAAGAAGAATATTATTTTTTTATACATGAATCAAAGTGAGTAACATATTCCCAACTGGGTTTGTTACTATTGTATGCTACTTTTCTCAAAACACCTTTTATGGACCTGTATTGCAATAAAAAAATTCACAAAATGATACTTCTCTGAGTTGCAGTAAACTAATGTTTAAGCGAATTTAATATTTTTGTCTATTTATTTTTCAACACAGAGATGCACGATTTACTTACCTCCACGCGGTGCACCCTGGGCAACGTATGCCCATTCGAAAAATATCTTTAAACTGGCAGTTGACTTTTGACGTCAAACTACCATAACTCCACAATATGTCATATTCAAACTCTTCCACAGTACCCACCTCACCTTTGTGCCTGTCTTTTTTATATCTATGAATCTCCCCTCTCTTCCCCATCTCAATCTTTGTGACTTTGATGTTTATCCCCCCACTGTGGAGTCCGAAGTCAACTAAAGGGCTAATGGGAACTATCATTAAGTCTGCCATTTGATATAAATAAATAAATAAAGAAATAATTTTTTTAGCACAAAATAATGGTGCGTGAGATAAGAATTTGGACTTACTTGTGATGTGTCCATGGTCTCACCATTTTCGGGCTGTTTAAGCCAGTCATCGCTACTAATCTAAATAATCGTTGATTATTCTATAACATATATGGATTCAATAACAATTATGATCAAAGTTTTATTTTAAAATATGTCGATAAGTAGGGCACTGATTAACAGAAAACATCAAATTATCTCTTCAATATAAAACGCCATTTTATACACCTAGAATACTACTTATTGACTGACCTCGGACGATGTAGCAACCCTGGATTGTGATGTAGGCTGGAATAAGTGTCTATTGCTTTTCTGAAATTGCGTTATAGTTAGTTGACAAACGCACATTTGAAAGTAATCTTTCACAATTTTGCAAATTACTGCCATTTATAATTCAAATGCTTAAATATTACTAAACACGAATGAAATATCACTAAATATAAACGTAATCCATTATATGAAATTAAAAAAGCTCCTAATTAGTTTATGAATTATTTTTTTATGTCTTATTCATTTCTTTTTACTTCCAAGAATTCCGGCTTATTGTTTATTGATAAATAACAGAAGACCCCTCAAAAATATGGGACCCACCTCCGGTGGCCTTATGAAATTGGAGTTGCTGGGTAGAGGTTTGTTTTCTTTCACCTCTTTTGTATACTGCTTCATTTCTGCGATTGTCGCTGAAATATCGTCAGAGAAACTGTGCAATTTATCCATATCCTTGGCATTCGATACATTAGCAAAAGATGGTTCATTATTGCAAAGAAAATCTTCTGAGAATTCATCATAACATCCCATGAACTCTGCTCCATATTCTTCGGTGTGTCTCTTCCAACGATCCGCATTATTCGCTGAAATTTCATATTGAAACTCTGCACCATTGGGGCTATTTTGGTCAAATAAATATTCACCGTCATAATCACTGTAATTGTGAAGATCAGTCATGGAGAGACTCAAAGAGTAGTCACTTAGTTCATCGAGGCTCGAAGATTTGCTGTGAGAAGGCATATTTTCTGGCAATGTTTGATTGATTGCAACGTAACCACCATGTTCCTGAGCAGAATTTAGGATATTAAAAAGGTTAGATTCATCAATAATCGATGCAATCGCTGGCTTGAGTGACGTCTTAAAGGACTGAACATCGGACTCGTATTGATGACCTTCCAATGACACGTCGTTCTCATTAGCGTAAAACACTGAAGGAGGGGTGTTGAATGGCCTTGTGGTATTTGAGGGATTAACTGGTAAATAATCTCCCTTATTTTCTCCACTTAACTGAATCCTCTTTCGTTTATATTCACTCTTGGGCACCGAACAAATTACCATTTGATCAGTTTGATTAATAAGGTGTAATATTATTGGTCCCACATTATAACCATCCGATTCAACAGATGCCAAAGCGTGATCTAATTTGAAACATTCAAAAGAATCCACTGAGCAAGATTCGCTTGGTGATGTTGATAGAAGTGGTAGACTTTCATTTATTACATTCCTATTTTGCAATCCAGGTGTTTCCTCATTTATTGAAGTAGACGAGTAATTAGACGAGTGCTCAGAGGTATGTTCTTGGCAATCTTTATATTTCAAACCATTTTTTGAAACCGTTGCTTTCGTCGATTTCAAAGATACAGAATGTTTGGAACATTCGTTTTCGTTTTGACAAGATTTGAGTAAAGGTAAATTGGGGGTGGAATCGTCGTTATCTGCCTGATTCACACTTTTTGATAGTGAAACAGTGGCTTTGGGAGCCATATTCCGGGAATTTTGGGAGGATATTTCATTTTCAGAAATCTACAAATCAATCAGAAATTAAATATGAATACATTACCCGAGAAGTGACATTCTGACTCGCTTCTTCGTGAGATTTAATAGGCGGTGAAGACAATGATCTTTTTAGTGAACTGGATCTATAGAGCCGACCATAGACGAATTGATCACTTTGCTATACGATAGAATATTTTCAATTATAAATATCCTTTTACCCCTGAATTGAAGCATTTTGAAGGTATTGGTTTCCAATTTTTTGTTAGTTTCTCGAGAGAAAAATCACGTCTATCTATTTTACTGGAAGAGTTCCACCTTGGCTTTTCATTAGCACAAAGTTTGCCTGACGATGTACGTGGACGTGGGGATATTAGGGGTTTTCCTCTAGATTGATTTTGATCTGGAGCTTCCTTCGATGGGTTACACCTCTGTTGCCGATTTCGATCTACTTCTACTTGATACTTAGAAGTGCATATGTATTCGTTACCTTTGATTTCAGTAGAACTACGAGTTCCCTTTGAGTTATTCTGATTTAATATTATGCTAGAGTTTTCTAGTAGTTTGGCAATTCCTTTTTGATTTGCATCCGCAGCGTAATCCCTATGCTCTAGTTCCAATTTATCTTTTTCTTCTAAATAAAAGTTCAGTTGTCAAAACTAAGTTTAAAATTCTGCTCACGCTTTGAGGCAACTAATTTTGTTTCGGACATAATTCTCCAATTCTTGCAGATTATAATGCAATGAAGATTATCGATTACTCATTTGCTATCAATATGTCAGCAGTGTTGTAATTTTCTCATTAATCCATTCTGTGGATAAATGTCTGCTGTAGGAGCACTTATCCAGGTAATTTAAAATGCTCAAAATTTTCCAATTAACGAAACGATTTCATTTCATTATTTAATATATATATATATATATTTAATGCTGCACTTTAAAATTAACTAACCTACTCGGACATTTTTAGGTTTCAAAGGAAATTTCAACTTTAAATCTATTGGTTAGCACTTTTAAATCCCCACTGTGCCTGCATTAGATAATTTGCTTAGGAATTTAAATATCAATATCATTGCCACGAACCCAACTAAAGGTGGTTCATCTTACTTACTTGATCTGGACACCAGAAAAAAAATCAGCGAAAGATGTTTTTTCAGACAATATCCACTGTGTCATGGAAAAACGGCACATGAATCCTTACGTAAATCCCCTTAGTTCTCTTAGAAATCGAAGCAACTGCAGTCATGTACAATCAGTCTCTGATAGAGGGCTCAAGTACACACTTACCCCCAACTTAGTGACAATGCAGAGTACATACTGTGTAGAGAGTTTGTTCTGAACCTGAACAAACTGTCAAAATGGTCTAGGATTGTGCACTTTTGACGTTGCGTTGACATTTGATTACAGGTTGTCTAGGTGGCCATTTCGCGCACGTCAGCTTCTGCTAATGTACTAACAGTAACACGCCCACGGCTTCTAATTTGTTCTAGCGAAATTCTTTTGATCAGCATCGGTAGTATTACATTCTCTATAGCAAATGTGTAAATTTAAACTTCCTTACAATTATTTAATTAGCTTCTGTTCACTAGATATATTAGTCAATTTAAGTATTCATAATTAGTAGTTTTTGGGTGGTAAGTGTTCAAGAACTTTCATACACTTGTCAAAGCTACCTTTTTTCATTCTTTTTTCTATGGACTCAAGAACACATATAGAAAGCATGTGTAGCGGATTACTACGCTAGTTAAAGCCTGACTGACTCAGAAATCTTTATGGCAGATTCTCCAACATCTAGCTAGACCGACTCAGAAATCTCCATGGCAGATTCTCAAACATCTAGCTACCGGCTCAGAAATTTCTATGGCAGATTCTCCAACATCTAGCTAGGAATCAGAAATCTCTATGGCAGATTCTCCAACCTCTAGCTAGAGAACAGCTAAGCTATAGCTCAGCTATAAAGAAAACAGACGTGTAGCACGGAGCGCGTTTATATCTGTGGCAGATTCTCCTACATCTAGCTAGACTCCCAGAACGGCAGATTCTCCAACGTCTAGCTAGACTCCCAGAACCAGGGAGATTCTCCTACATCTAGCTAGACTCCCAGAACCAGCTAAACCATAGCCCAGCTATAAAGGAAACAGACGAGTAGCACGGAGAATTCTCCAACATCTAGCTAGACTCCCAGAACAAGCTAAGCTATCGAACCAGCTAAGCTATAGCCCAGCTATAAAGGAAACAGACCGAAACTAGCTAAGCTATGGCCCAGCTATAAAGAAAACAGACGTGTAGCACGGAGCACGGAGTATATTGTGGATAAAGTGCACACGCAGGTTTCAGAACTTATATTATGGATAAAGTGTACACGCAGGAAGCTACTCACGATCAGGATGGGGGATTAGG